TGGGGCCAGCCTGGACCGCGGGGCGCACACACCGTGAAGGCTTTGTGTCCGTCGCGGGCTTCCAGGCTGGTGACGGACTCATCAGCACAGAGTGCGGCCATGAGACAAGGGCGGCGCGTCTCCCCGCAGGCCTGTGTTGCCGGGTGGGACAGCTGTGCGAGTTCTGTGACTCGTAGCTCCCAGTGGCGACTGCCGCCTCTCACCATTCCGCGATCTTTGTACTTTAGAAAAGGCGATTTCGTTCTCACCTTGTGTAGGTCCTCATTTTTGTTTGTCGGTAACACCCGTTTTTAACCCAGTCTGAACGGCTTCCGCCAGCCTAGGGACCTGCACGTCCTTCCCACACGACCCGACCAGAGCGCTGGAGGCTCTGCCAGCGCAGCTGCAGTGGCAGGGATTAGATGCATTTGCGTGTGAAGTGACAGAAACCAGCCCAAACACTGCGGCTTCTGGGTCCGCGACCCTGCTTTGCCCACTGGCACCCAGCTGCGCTGTGGCGTGGCCAGAGTGGCCCAGAAGCTCCTTCACCTGTTCCAGCCACTTGCCCTGGGCCTGGCCGAGTTGGATCCCAAGCACCCTGGGGAGGCCATCGGCAGCCCCTATGTCCTGCTGGCGGGTGAGGTAGACACATAGGCAGGTGCCTAGGGGTCCTCGTGTGCTTCCCTGCTGCACCCCGGGGTTGCTTTAGTTTTCAGGGTTCCTGCTTTAAATCTGTCAACACCAGCGACACTAGATCTGACCAGCTGCCACAGAGTCCCCAGGGTAGCCCGTCCTGTCCACACCATAGTACAGTGTCTGCGTGGGCCGAGACCTCACCTGAGTGGCATGTCCCTGTTCTTGCCACCCCACTCACCACCGTCCCAGTGCACAGACCACACAGTGCCAGGTCCCTCTCAGGAGGTGTGACGGGGCATGCACCATTTAAGCAGCCAGGCACTGGCCCCTCGAGGTGCATCCAGATGCTCTATGGTGGGTGCCGTCAGCGCTGCTGCAGGTGGCCAGATGCAGCTCAGGTCACTGCACGTCACAGGCCAGGTGCCACGCAGGCTGTTGTGCTTTGCAGGCTGCTGTGTCGCAGTCCATTATCCATTAAAAACAGCCTGAGGCCAATGGCCTTACACAGCTGCGGTCCTCACCCAGGCAGAGGCGGGACTGCCCGCCGCAGCCCGTCCGTCTGCCACAGTCCAGCCTCAGCAGGGGACAGCCGAGGTGAAGGGTGGTGTTGGGTCTGTTTTTAAATTAAGTCTGTTTGTGTTCCAGAAAATATTTTCAGAACCCGGAAGCCTCCCCATGAGGACCATCAGCCAGCTCCGTGAGCGCTGCAGGGCCAGGCTGCTGGCGCAGGGCTGAGCCAGAGCTGCCACCCGCTGGCTTTCACTGCGCTCCTGGGTGGTGGTGTCGGGACCTGACGTCACTACACTTCAGCTGTCAGCTTTTTTAAAGAGCAACTTAAAATCGTGTTATTCTACATTTCTATGATTAGCTATGAAGTCTAGAATTTCTGAAGAAAAGTTATTTTTACCTGAGACATTAATAATACATGAAATATGAGGGATGCATGTTTATATTTAATGAAGTATGTCAGTACCTGTGAATTTATCAGCTTGTCAGCCAACTGAAAATTAAAATCAAAGTAGTGACTGTCACTGTTGTTACAATGTCAATCTGACTATGATTCTGTTCGTGTGGCAGATATCCACCTTTATGTGGTGTGTGTGTGTAGCACGTGATTTCTCTTTATGAAGGTAGTGTTTTTAAATGACTTGAAAATTGCTGTTACAAGAACAGTGAGCAGGGGCCGGCCCGGTGGCGCACTGGATAGTGCGCCGCTTGGGAAGCGCGGCGGCGCTCCCGCCCGAGGGTTCGGATCCCACATTCGGACCGGTTCCCGCTCACTGGCTGAGCGAGGCGCGGGGGCAGCACCGAGGGTTGCGGTCCCGTTGCCGGTCCCCGGTCCGGTATGGGGGCGACACTGAGGGTTGCGATCCGTTGCCAGACACGGAAAAAGACAAAAAGAAGACAAAAAAAAAAAAAAAAGAACAGTGAGCAGACATGGGCAGCGTCTGCATGGGGCTTTGGTGCATCCGCCCCCTCTGGGCCCGGGGACTCTGGCCTCCTGCCGTGGTGGCAGTACTGCCCAGGCAGCTGAGCCCTGCGTGGGACAGAGACACAGGCAGGGGACAGGCTGCCCACCACACTGCCCCAAGCTTGCCCACATACTGCACAGCATTACACATGAACTTCCCTGGGTTTCTCCAAATCGATATTCCACCTGCAAACAGGGTTGGCCAGTCTCGCAGAGGCCTTCCCATCCTCACCCATGTGTCCTCACCCTAGTTCTGGGTCGGCATCGGTAGGAGACTGGCTTCCTAGAGGCGGCGGGCTTCTCACGAGAGGCAGACACCCCCAGGGGAGGCCAGCACAGCCCCACCATAACAGGCTCACCCAGCAGTGGCCTGACAGATGCCTGATGAGTAATGGTGTGGTCCAGATCCCCTCCTTCCCCCCACACGAGGCACCCTTTGCCCCTCAGACTGCTGAAGACCCCAGCCCTGCTCCCATCCCAGTGTTCCTGTCCACGTGGCCCCACTCTGCTCGTTTGGAAAGGACTGCTAAAGAGAACTGCATAGGGCCCCTGGGGGCTCTTGGAGTCTCAGAGCCCAACGGCAGGGCCCTGTGTGAGCAGCAGACTCTGGGACATGTGCTGGGTGCAGGCCAGGGAAGCTGAGCTCCTTGAGCCACCTGTCAGGCATCCTCGGCCTCTCCCACCGAGGTCTGTGGATCCTGATGGTGTACAGGGTTTCGCTTAGAAAAGTAAAGATTAGCTGCCAGCACAGCCAGGCGGGGCCTACTGCTGCCTCTTCCCTGGGGAACCTGAGGAGGGAGCCTGGCCACCAGCATGACTGGGAGAGGGGAAGCCTGCCACCTTCAGGGCTGATCTCACCTCCAGAGCCTTGGACACAGCAGCTTTCTGATATATTTTAAACACAGATTTTTCAGGCCTCTTTTACATCTCCTAAGCAAACAGAGGAAGTCGTTAAGAACAGTACCCTACACAAGAGTGGGTCAGACACAACCCGACGTCCTGGAGAGACCGTGCCTCAGCAGAGGTAGGAAGTGTTTCCCAAGTTGGTCAGAGCCGCCAGCAAGCCCTTGCACCAGCCCTCTCCCCAGCCCCCTCCCTCTTTAACATGTTTCTCGTGGCACAGGCAGCTGTTTGCCTGCAGAGATCACGATGTAGCCATGATGTCACAGTTTAGGACTGACCTGAAGAGACATATAATGTTCTCCTCAAATCCATCCGCACGACTGGCTACAACTTCAACTCTCCTAAAACCAGGGCCATGTCGAACCCACCAGTCCTCAACCCCCTTTCCTAATATCACTCTGTCGTCATCTCTCATTTTAGCTGACAGAATTACAAGGTCCAGACGAACAAAGAAAGACTTTTTATTAGCACTGTTACAGGCAATGGTAATGTTACATGTGAGCTGACCCTCAGTGTATGACCCACCCAAGCCATAGCAGATAAATCAGGAGGGAGAATCTATCTGTAATTATATGCAAGTGCAGAAACAGGATCACCCTGAATGTCAAACAAGACTGAAAATCACATTACAAAAAAAGTAAATAAAAATAACACCCATTTTTTAAAAAGTGCCAGCTCTTGAGTGGCAGAGCATCACGTATACCACAGGACACGCTTAAGTAGCTGCAAACACTGACCTGCTTCCCACTGTGCGGGCCAGGCCTGCCCTGGCTTTTACAGCTGAATTTAAGCAGTCCAGATGTTCATCTTCTGGATTTCCTTTCTCTATTTTTAATTTTTTAAGCGCGTCACCCTAACAATTAAGCCAACCATATCTGTCCTAAGTGTTAAGACTAGAGACTCTCCCTTTGTAAGGCTTAAATCTGAGTAAAGAATTAAGAAACCAAACACCAGAATCTTAAGAAGTCAAATGATAGTGGGGCCAGTGCCAATGTAGAAAAGCACTCTAACCCTCCCTTGGAGCTCTACTTTGGTAAATGTTAACGTTTAACCAGTCAGCAAAATATTTAACCCAGTTAGCAAAATTGACACCGTCATTTGAGTAGTTACTCTTGTGCATAGTAAATGTTGCAGGATGAACTCCACGTCTGATGAAGCAGATCTGAAAAACAGTTTGCAGAAAGTGTTCCTCCCCTCAACACCACTCGAAGCCCAGGGAAACGAGCATACCCCGCAGCAGCTGTGGCTGCGGTGCTCGGTGGCAGTGCTAAATCGTCTGGTAGCCGGCGTGACTCCTCTTCCTGCCGATGAGGTAGGCGATCAGGACGATGAGGACCAGCCCCGCCAGGGCGCCGCCCACGGCGATGGGGATCAGCATGCTGTTCTCGTCCAGCAGACACTCTTCCACTGCGAAGACACGGGGCACGCGCTCCGCTCATGCACACACCTCGCCAGCAGCTCTCCCCGCCCCGGCCTCCCTCATCAGTCAGCACAGGAACGGGCTTAAACTGAGGTGGGAGAGTCCAAGTCCAGCCACCCACCCCTTGGAGAAGCCCCTATGTGTAGACACTGGCACTTTCCACGTGGCTGAAGAGTCACAGGTGTTCTCCTATGAGAATCCATGGGTGCCACTCAGTGAGGCGATGGCCAGTCACCCGTGCTGTGCCCGGGGCCACTGGGCCCTTTGGAACACTGGACACACCAGACAACACCTTACATTCAACTTACACGGGAGAAGAGCCACCCCATTCTTGGAATGACTGCCTTATTCTCAAGTGGTGTCACATCTCCCTGTCTGGAAGACGTGCTGAATGTTCTGAAGTGAGGGGAGTTTTCTCTAGGACATCTCAGACTGGGAAGAGCAAACAGCTCTCTGTGGAGGAAAAGGGAACCTGCTCCCAGCCCCACGCAGAAGCTAGGCACTTCCACTGCCGCCATCGCCGTCCATGCTGTGCTCCAGCACTACTCACCAGATCCAAACTTGTCACCTTCGACCTTGAATGCCTGGACCCACACTTTGAATATGTTGACGGAAAACGCCTCTGTGACGTGAACGCGCTCCACTGCGTTACACTTGTAGGAATTCCCGACAGTGGCCTGCAGCACCCTCAGTGAGTCATTGCCAGCTCTAAAGGTGGGGGCTGCAATGCAGGTGAGAGTGTAATAACTACCTGGGGACAGTGGGGCGGGGCGGGGGGTGGTGCACATGTGAATTGTGGGGTCTCACCTCTGGCGTCAGGAAGAGTTGTGTTCATGTGGATTCCCTGCAGGAAAAACCGGCTGGAAGTTGCATTCTAAAAGAGGAGAGAATCCTTAACCACTTAATTAGAGTCACATGTTCATTGTCAAACTTAAGAAGTTATTTGATAATAAATGTGAGTTCCCTTATTTCTAGCTTTAGAACAAAACTGTAGATATCCTGTCTATGGAGGCATCATATCACTCTGAGGACAACAAATTTTTAGTTCCTTCTAGATCTTTTTAGGTTCAGGGTCTCAGTTAAAACAGAGACTGCACAAGCCACGTTCCAGAAAAGTAAACTACTCTGAATGGTGTAGGAAAGGCAGAACATCCCATGGGAAACCCACTGGTATGACTCCATTTGCACGCTGTATGACACAAGAGGGCTGCGGATTCTTCCTATGTCACTTTGCTAACTCTGCCTGTGGTTCCTTCCCAGCAGAAGAACGTCCAGGACACAGAAACGCGCCAGGAGCAGCTTACCCTCTCCCCTCTGCAGCCGGCCCCTGACTGTGGCACACAGTAGGCCCTCCCTGAACGTCTGCAGCATAAGTGAATGCTGGTATCTGCTCATGGAAGTGGGGGGAGGGAGGGGGAGACCGAGGAACCCAAAAGACCTACTCTAAAGGGAAGGCTGGGAAAGTGACCCGTCTGCTCCCTGCTAAGGCAGAGCTCTGTGTCCCATTTTCACTGTGGCTCACCAACTGTCTCACCACACCACAGCCCTGGCCGCCTGACCTCCTTGGTCACCAGACCAAGGGCAGGAGAAAACGTGGCAGAAAGACCACCATAGTGGAAGGCCCGAGTAACAGAGGTGCCCAGAGCTCACCATCCCGAACTGGAGGCGCAGGGCGGTGCCGTCCTCACTCCGGATGTCCAGGGTCACCAGGTGCGGGCTGCAGCTGCCATTGGCTGAGGTCTTGTTTGGGTTGATATTAAACACTCTTATCACAGTCTAAATACGAAAAGCAATAAGTTACCACACTCTTGAAACACAAAAATTCTGAAGCAGAAACTTCAAGGTCACATTCATTTGAACCAGAACTAGAAGGAAAACATTAGAGCTCACAGTAGTGCAGATTTCCCAATTCCAAAACCATTGTTCTTGCTACTTGTGACCGACCCCGTTCAGAAGGACGTGTGTCTGTGTGGAAGGTGCGTATCCTAATGCCGTGCCCCACCCCCCACCCTCTCCCCTCAACAGCCACACCCTTTAAATCTCCTCTCAGTCCCACAGACTCTGTCACCTGTAGGACAGATATTTTAAATGCAAAGTGTAAAAATAATACTTAAACGTTTGTGACAAAAGTTTAAGGAAAATGTGATGTTCTATCCAGGGTCAACAAGCTTTTCCTGCACAGTGCCAAAGAAACACTTCAGGCTTTGTGGCCACAC